TAGAGATAATTTTTCCCTCTGTTATATAGGTTGCTATATTAACAGATTTCAGATGCCAGGGAGTTTTTCAAATGCCAGACCCTACTCCAGCGCTGAGAAAACGGTGAGTCACTAAGGACAGAGAGGCCTGCTGAGTGGTTTTCCAGAATGGAAACCACAAAGAATTAACATTTATTTACACACAATGCTTAATTTAAGTCTTTTAAGTCTTTAAGAATTTAAAAACTGTTAAACATTCTGTATTATTTTAGTTGATCCTAATAATTTTACATTCAGCTATTGTATTGGTGTGCTGAGGCATATTCTAAAAGGAGAAATACTTGCTGTGTGCTTGTGTAGCATTCATATAACTAGGTCAATCATGGTGATATTAAAAAAAAACAAATCTTTTCAAGTGATTTTTACTTTTTTGTATTGTACTTTTATTGTGAAACATTACAAACTGAAGGGTAGGGAGAATAGTATCAATATGCATGACAGTTTTATCAAATCTTCACATTTTAAATTGATTTAGAGGAACAATCGTGTGTGTGAAGTTGTGCAATGGTAAAGGTCTACAGGAAAAAAATTGTACAGCATGGATTATTTTTCAGCTGCTTTCCTTTTCCATCTATGGTTTGGGGGAAGGAAGTTTATGTTAATTTAGGCACCTGCTTAGCTAAATAACAGGGAACCCATTAGAAGGAATTGCATTCTCATTCAGTCTAAGTCCTACCAGTTCTCTGCAGCTGTGTTTCTTTTAACCTACTTAAACCATCAGAATGGCAATGTTTCAATGTTTTTAAATCTTTAAGGGTAGTATATGTTAGGTCTGTAATAGTAAGAAGGTAAGAATAAAAGTGTACTTTTAAGCAGAAGCTTTTAAACTCTAAAAGCAGGAGGAAATTATATCCAAAACCACAGGTCCTGGGCCTCAGGTTCTGAGGGATTCTCGGTCCAGGGGCAGCCACAATCCCTGATGTTTCGACCCAACTTCTCTCAGGCCAGAGCCCAGAGCCAGCAATCCTGACCCCCTCAGGCCTCCAAGACACGGAGCTAGAGGGCGGGTGGCCGGCTTCTTAAGGGTTTTAGCTCAACCAGGGCAGTTTAATGGTGCTTCACCAAGAGGTCTAGAAGCTCCTTAGCCTAGTCTTGGGCCAGGAGGCTCAGCCTTGGGAGCACAGGCCTATCTGTCTTCCTTCTGGGCCCACTACATCGTATGTTAGTATAGTTCTGACCTGCGCTGGGAAAGCGGAGGGGGGTGGGGGGAGGGAGGTTTTGGAGTCTGCGGGAGATCTGGGAACAAGGGCGACTCTGCTGGCCGATGCTCCCGGGCGGGCAGGTGGCCTACGCAGCGGCCACCGCTCTGGGGCCAGATTCGGGGTCTGCCGCCTGTCCAGGGGCCTTCTTTGTTGTTCTGGCCCCTACTCTCCCGCCCTGCCCGCCCCTGGGCCCCTGGGCCCCTGGCCCTTCCTGCATTCGCTTAGGTTCCAGTTCGCTGCTCAGCGCGTGCAATCCACCAGCAGAAAGCGAGTGGGTTCCCGTGCTCTTCTCCGAGACGTGGCACCACGGCCCCGGCCCCCGGTCCCAGGCGCCCGGGCACGGGTGGCCTCCTCGGCCGGGGCCTGCGATCGATCTGCGTCCCCGGGGGCGGGAGGGGGGCGCACGGGGCGCTGGGCCGCGGGGGCCGCGGCGGGTCCCCCTCGCCAGCGGCGGGCAGGGCGCGCGGGAAAGCGGGGAGCGGGGAGCGGGCGGCGGCGGCGCGGGCCGCGGGGAGGAGGGGGCGGCGGCGGGAGGAGGGGGCGGGAGGAGGGCGCGCGGCAGGCGGGCGGGCGGGCGGGCGGGCGGGCGGAGGGAGGGCTGATTAGCATGCAGCAGCGCTCGCGCGCCCGGCTCCATTGTTTTAACACCTCCCCTCTCCTCCGCGCCAATCTGTCACCGTTCAGCAGGCGAACGCTGCCGCCTCAAATGCTGCTCTTCTCAAATGAGACGGATAATTAGTTGCCCCGCACGAATGCCGCACTCTTCTCACCCCTGATTGCTATCACCTTCTTGCTCCTGGCAGTTTTGACACCTCGTAATCAGCCTGCTGCTTTTCCCTTTTCTTCCCGACTTCTGCTTCCCTCCATCCCCCCACCCCGTCCCTGCTCCGTGCATTTTATTATTATTATTATTATTATTATTATTATTAATTATTCATTTTAAATGCAATCTGGCTCCTGTTTGGACCAGGCCCCCGCCGAGGCCCCCGCCCGCGTGGAGACACATGAAGCAGGAGGCACGTGCGGGAGTGGGAGGCGGGCCTGCGGCTTTGCGGGGACGCCGGCTGCACGCCGAGTGCATTCTCTCTTCTCCTTGAGCTGTCTCCGGGAAGGGAGGGACGGGCGCGCAGAGCCGGGGAGACCTCCAGGAAAGCCTTAAAGATCTGGTGGAGAGGAGCAGGCCGGGAGCCTCGGAGTCTGCTGTCAGGAGCGCGCTCCCCGCTCCCTCTAACGAGCACTGACAGGCTCATTACCGCGGCCGCGGGCAGCTGTCGCGCCAGCAGCCGGGAGGGAGGGAGGGAGGGAGGGAGGGAGGGAGACAGGGAGGGCGCCGCGGGCTGGGCGCTCCGGGCCGGCCCCCCGGAGCCGCCGGCCCCGGCCGGACCCCGGGGAGGGTGCCGAGAGGGAGGGAGAGAAGGGCCAGGCCCCGCACCCGCGAGCCCCGCGGGCAGAAGGCGGGCCTCGGAGCCGGCGGACACGCTCCCGGTTCCCATGTATAAAGGCTTTACCTTGAAGGTTAAAAGATGTGAAAGGAAAAAGGAGGGGACGTGGGGAGTGGGAAGAACATCTCCCGAGCTCCCAGCCACCTACCCATCCCCTTTCTACCTCCTCGTGCTCTCCCCATCCTCCCCGCCCCCGTGTTGGTGAAATAACCACGCGCCGGGCGGCGGGGCGGGAGCCGGGCGGGTGTGAGAAAGCAGATGTCCCCGCTGGCAGCAGCCGCAGCCTCCGGGGAAGCGGCGCCGGGGGCCTCCCGGGGACATCACCTCCCACTGCTCAGGCGTCCCGCTCACAACTGCCGCGCCTCGGCGGGGGTGTTCTTTTCAGACTCAGCGTTTCGCGGGTGCAGCTTTTCTACCTGGGAGCTGTTCCTACCCGGCCGCGCTGAGCAGATGTCGGGACGCAGCCCCTGCACGACTCAGCCGTCAGAGACAGAGGGAGAGGCCCGAGGTGCCCACTCTCCGCCCCTGCAGCGCGGGAAGGGCCCGGGCTGCCCTCCGCGCGGGGCCCAAGGGGGCTTTGTCCCTGGGAAGTTGGTAGTCCCGGGACCCAAAAGAAAACAAGGGTTCCCCCACCGCTCTGCCTGCACACGCGGTGCATGTGGGAAAGGAGTGAAGAGGGGTCAACAATACACTGTCGTGGGAGTCCCTTTCCGGGCTGTACTTTCTTTGCGTTGTCAGTAGTCTAGGTGTCAACTGTGCGAGAGGGGCTTTTCCTCTCCCAGAACAGCAGAGAGAAAAAGAATCCCCTTTCGCGATAGGTACAGTGGTATATTCTGACTGGTACTCACTGGAGTGTTTTTATTTTTAATGTTGTGAGTGTGTGTGTGTGTGTGTGTGTGTGTATGGGGTGGGAGAAGTGAGAGGGGAGGCAGGGGGGGGTGGAGGTTGGGGGAGAGGGGGAGGCTGGGATAATTGTCTAGGCATTTCCATTCAGACCCAGTGGCAATGAAAGAAAGATGTACATGCCTCAGACACCTTCACAGTGAATACCTAATAACCACCGTGTCACCTTGGTGAGGAAGATGTCAGTGTGATGTGCTTGGCACCCTGAGCAGTTGAGGCATTGCTCTCCTCCTTCCTCAAGTGAAGGCTCTTCACTGTTGCTCAGGGGCCTGCTCCAATCCCCTCACCCTAAGCCCTCCAGCTTTTCCAAACACATGTTCCAAAGAAGGCTTAACTTTCTGTTTTGAGAGTTGCAAATCAATGTTTACTTCATAAAATGTAAGTCGTGCCTCAACCATTTTAAAATAGTGGGGGTGGGGAGGGAGGGAAGAGAAACGGAAAAGAATTACAGGGAAGGAAAAGAAGGGGAAGCGTCATTTTAAACATTCTGCAGCCTTCTGAACTGGTATCTTCTCAAATGTCTTCCAATGGCCATCAACCAGGCTGCTAACAATGAGTAACAAATCTATCAACAAGAATGTGAATATTACTAATATAAGTAAATATGGATAGTTTTACATTTGCTCCCATTAAATACATGTTTCTTTAGTTAGTTTGAAAAGTAATTTAAAAATTCAAAGTGAGCTACTGGTTATAATAAAATATTACCTGATCTGGTATCACTCTTCTAACAAGTTACTGGGAATAAAACATGCATTTTATAAACTTCCCAAAAATGTGTTTTATTTCCTTTACATTTTGTCACTCAGGAACAAAGAACACATTAATGATCACTATATAAGTAACTCTAAATAAATTCATTTCATCATGTAGCTACACAGAAAAAATTGAAACCAAATATGTTATTTTAAGAAATCTAAAGTGTTTAGTTTTACTAGTGATTTTATCACTGGGCAATAAATGTCTTAGATTTTGTATTTAGATGCTCATGCTGTCTGCTATTCTCTATTATAGGTTTATTAAAAAAGAACATCACATAGAGTATAAATAATTTAAAATTTTTAATGAAAACAAATGAAACATTTGACATCACCAAATTCAATAGATATAACTTGGATTCCAAGCAATGAGCTTAGATAGTTGAAGCATACATAAATTATGGTCATACAATTCTGTAAGTCACATACATAATTTTGAATTATGGTAACAAACACTGTAAACATGAACACAATCAACTGCAATGTGATCTTTTAAAAGACAATAAAGGAGGGTTATAATATAAGTTTAGAAAAAATTCAAATATCTGTGATTTTTCAATAAATGATCTTGAACTAACTTTGCAATCAAGTATCTACAGTATTACAAACCCCAGATCATCACATAGAACAGTGATAAGTCTGTTTTCAAATGCGCCTTAAGTCTCCTCCTTAAAGTGTGAATTAAGATGCCGGAGGAAATCCCCCATGGAAGTAATGGATGGCGGAAGAACTTCGTGACAGAATTCACATACTGGAGGTATATGCAGTTCTGAGCCTGTGCGACTTAGTACCGATGATAAATCACTGTCTTGTTTAGGAAAGGGTTTCCAAACAGGCTGCAGGAAACAAAGAAAGACATTTCCTGTTATTTGTCTTTAAAATCAATTTTCATTGAGTTTCAAATTCAAATAGTTGGAATGGGTTTGTGCATATATATGAATTCCCTAATATGAAAGCAAATTACCTTTCCATGGAGTTAGCATGAGACATGACTCAATTTAAAGGGGTACAACTAAACTGTGATTAAAAAATCACTTAAAATACACTTTCATGTACTTTATTTTCACGTATTTTAAAATCTTCCAACTTTAACACCAGCATATTTTAATACCAGTACCACAAAGGCAGTAATTATAGAACAACAGTTAATAATTGAGACTTTAAAAATTAAATTCTACCTTTTCTATTTTACAATAGAAACCTTAAATTATAGGGCCTAATTAATTAATAATAATACATGGTCCACTAGACATAATATGTATATATACATGCATTGTGATGAAGAAAGATTCAAATTTCACCACCTATAAACAAATACATAATGAATAACTTATATGCAATTTTTTTTTTCATTTTTGAAGTTTTCTTCTTTGAAACTACTAAACAAATTCCATTGATTATTTGTTTTTTTAAAATCACAAACATTTAGCCCTAGCTGGTTTGGCTCAGTGGATAGAGCATCAGCCTGCTAACTGAAGGGTCCCAGGTTCAATTCCAGTCAAGGGCACATAACTGGGTTGTGGGGGGGGGGGTGGATCCCTGGTGGGGGACATGCAGGAGGCAGCCAATCAGTGTTTCTCATCACTGGTGTTTCTCTCCCATTCTCTTCTTCTCTGGGGAAAAAAAGAAAGTTAAAAAAAAAAAAAAGAAAACAGACACAAACATTTAATCATTCAACAAAATCTAACACCTGATTTATTCTTTCTTATTTTGCTCCTGTTATGTAGTGATAGTCTGGCCTTCTTTATTACTTTTAGTGGCTGAATAAAGTAAAAACCTGATAATAGTTACCTAATTAAAGACTTATAGAAAATTATAATTCAATAAAATTATAAGAGGCACATAAACACCCTTATATAACTGAATTTATTTGTAAAAAACACAAAAATACCAGAAGGCAAGGAAAAGCCTTTTAGCTCCATAAGAGGTATGCAATAAATACTTGTTGATTGAACTATCTTATTTTCCTAAAGTGTTGCAAGCCAAATTATTTTTTAAACTTGCTTTCTTACATTGCATAGATGAATTACCTTGACATACCTAAATTCTGATAGTTTGAGGAAAATCACCTCAAAAAGTCAATTTAAAGAGACACCTTTGTGCTCCTATTAAGAATATATTTTTAAAGTAAAAGCCTAGTTCAACATCTAATACAGTGTTAGTTTTCATTCCCTCAATCAATCTCTTTCATTCTAGTTAGCAAATCATTTACAAAAATGGTATATGTATCACTAGTTGAAACATTTAGATTACATGGAGGGCTAATAATAACACTGACTCAATTCCTTTTGTGAGAAGTGGTAATTTTATTACATAAAACAGTAATATCTGAAACATACATTTTGAAATAATTTTTAAAAAACCTTTTTCATGATAAAGAAGCAGTAATAATTTTGAGTATATAAGCAAATGTCTAGTTAACTAGATTTAAATTTTACTGCTTGCAGTTTAAACAAAAAGTACAATTGATTACTACCTACCACCCTAATGGGAAATTGATTTAGATATAAATAATAAAAGGCATGCTAAAATAATAATTATTAAGATCTATAAAATACTAAGAAACAGAGTTAGAAGCAATTTAGCTTCTCAATTTGGTGAGCCAATCTTCTACTGCAATTTATCTTCAAAGTCCGTATTTATCTTCCTTTGTTAGCAGCTATTAATTAAGGTTTGATCTCCTCATAAAATTCCGATGGGGTCCCAATGACTGACTCAGCAAAAGTCGGAAGAAAAGAAAGTCACACAGAGCAAAAATAAGCAAGATATATTTTGGATTTTGTAATGACAGCTGAACGTATTAAAAAAGTGTTCAGTAATAATGATTGATAAAAAGTAAAAATTTGAAAGATGTAACCACAATTTTGCTCCTCTGTTATTTCAACTCAAGAATTTTGTATTTATGATACTAGCTTTATTAATACAAAAAAATGGAAAAATATTTTTAAAAACCCACCTTAAGAAATAGTTTTTCAATCCTAATCTGTACCATGACCTTTAAAACAAACTAATTTTGCCTTTCCTGCCAAAATATCAATTATCTAACCTTATGCACTGTGTCTTGTGACAGCTCAACACCAATTCTCCTGCATTTTTAAAGCTGAATCCTTTTCCATCAAGTTGTAATCACATACCAGCTGTTTCCCTGCTCTATCATTGAAAGCAAATGCACAATGCAGGGTGCCATCTACTGAAACATGAATGCACAGGCTAACTAACTAGTAAAAGAACAAGCAAGAAATATAATGGAGAAAAAAGTAACAAGCATTAGAACTGATGCATTTCACAGCTCCACAGGAATTCTACTTGCAATAAATGAAATTGCTTAATTTGCTTCATTTAGAAGTAACTTATCACTAAGACTATGATATGAAATAAGGTACAAAGTAGAACATAAGTGAGTTTATAATTAAAGTTTATTGTCAGAGATGCCTAGTTTTCCTCACTACTGAAATATACCACAGCTTGGCTACTGCATCCTTTGTATGCTAATTTAAAAGTCTATAATCTATCAGAATACTTACAAAGCCAAAGGGTATTCATCTAGTTGTTTAAGACAAAGAGAAATTCCAACAAATGTCTGTAAGTTATATAGACATTTTACACCAATCTGTATTTTCATGAGTGTCTGTTTATTTTAACAATTATATATTTTCACTAGCCTTCAGGCATTAATAACTTTTTTTTTAAACTAAAAAGTTATCCCTAAATTAAATTATTACTGAATAAAAAAGATGGTAGAAATGGACTGGGGGAGCATTAAGAAGTCCTCAAATATTAGGAACATTAAAGTATTTAATTAAAATAATATATATGCAGAAACTATTAAAAATATATGTTAGGCTGCATGTTCAGTGCCAGATTAGAAACCAAAACCAAAACTGAACTGTACAAATCTATGCACTGCATAAATGAGAATGTAATAGGATTATTAGTTAAAAGACAGATTACTTATTTTGCTAAATGGGAATATACAATGCAATTATTTACTTATGAAACATTACAGATCCTTGTAAAGATGACTATGATCTACACAAACTGTTCCATAGAGAAATGCCATTTGTTTCACAGTATGAAATTTAGAAAAGAATCCTATTATAACACCGATGCTGAGAGAAGGAGCTGTAAAGGACTCAGAAAGTGACACGTGCTTGATATGGATAAGGCTTACGTATATTTTAAAATGTGCCTTAAGTTTTAAGGTACTTTATAATAGAGCTTTCCCATATTCATCTTTTATAATTTCATGCCATTTATTATAGAGCTTGAATTTTATTGGGAGCTTAAATTGGTTAGTCATTAGTTTAAAAGGATGTCCGATAATCTGACAGAGATGCATATCTGTGCCTGTTTGGCAAAATGTGTGTCCACACATAATATACTTGTTAATGCAAAACAGTTACCTGCTGTGGTCCTCGGATAGCTTTTCCCGGGGAATCAAGTGAAGGAAAAGGTGTATGAGACAGGTCCTCAAGTGGTAATGTATTTACGTACAATGTATTATGGTCTCCAGGTGGCAAACACGGAGCTCTATCCAGAATGGTCCTGATACAAGTGTTTACAAGATTTGAGGATTCTGTATTGTCAGTTGTTTTAAGGTCTTGTATAGCTGAAGCTATGGGGTCAACTCTCTGAATTTCAAATAAAGTTTCTTCTGTTTTAGCAAAGTTTCCTGGGTTGTCTCTGATATCGATATTGAATTTATCCTGGCACACAGCCTCAGACGCGGCAGGACCAAGGATGTTGGGTCTTTCTGGAGTGCTATGCAAGAAAGTAGAGTCACTGTCCATAGGTGGAAACTTGACATTGAATTTAGAAAGTGATTCAAAGGAGGTGTCTTCTTCATCTTGGCCCAGTCCTCTTGGTGTGACAGATGTGATGCAGGATGCACTTCTATTTATATCATCGTTAGCCTGAGGCTCAAACAGCGCTTCTTGTTTATCTGCTTTATCCGTACACTGTATAGGCACCGAGCACTGTGTTTCTGCAGAGAAAAGAACACACAAGGAAAACAGTCATATTCCAATCATTCTTAAAAATCTGAATTCAATTAGCCTTGGACAGATAAGCATTATTTTTTTTCTATTGGTTTTTATAGGAACTGAAGACAACTGTAATTTTTTACATTTGCTACCGTTTTACACAGAAATATTAGCATTCTCTGGTGGGTGAACTGGAACATGCTTATTAGCTGCAGTTTAACTGCTTTGCTTTTTTCCCCCCCAGGTCTTTTGCTATAAGCTTTGCATCTTGTTCACAGTTCTACTCTTCTACACTTAAAAAAAAAACACACACACCAACCAAAAAACGTTTCTTGTAATGTATACATTTAAACATTTTGTCAGGAAGAGAAGCTGCAACTGCGAGCTTGCTTATTAGACAAATACCTTGTTAAAAGGGAAAATCCTTACAAGATTACACACAACACACACACACACACACATTACAGATTAAAAATTTATATGAATTAGGTCATTTCCCCTAATATTACTGTGTGACAGTATATCACCAATCTATTTAGCCACTGTCTACTCTCAATAATCCATGTGAAAGTGATGGAGAAGGTAGGAATTGGGAGAAAGAAGAGAGTAGAGGCAAAAGAAGGCTGAAATTTTGGAATGCATGTGCAGAAAATTATATATGAATATATAAAATTTCATCTTATAAATTAAAAAAAAAAAAGGCCTCGGTAGATAACAGGTAGATAGATACCAGGGACTCCGTAGCTCATTTACCCAGAAGTCACTTGCCCAACAATTTCAGCTCTCTAGGACTTAGGCAAAGCTAAAAAGTAAGTAAATGGAGCTTCTCAGGAGTCAGAATTAGAGCTTCAAGTGCTATAGATATATGAATTTTGCTCTTATTCTCATATTAGATTTATTCTAACAAGCTTGATGATATTTCCCTAGCTCAGTGGTCAGTAAACTCATTAGTCAATAGAGCCAAATATCAACAGTATAACAATTGAAATTTCTTTTGAGAGCCAAATTTTTAAAACTTAAACTATATAGGTAGATGCATTGTTATTAACTTAGTTAGGGTACTCCTACTAAACTGGCCTTTGCGAAAAACTCAAAGGGCCAAAGAGCTGCATGTGGCTTGCGAGCTGCAGTTTGCCGACCACTGCCCTGACTCATAGCTGGTTAGAAGCAGCATAATAAAAGGTATGCACATGAGTTTTTAAAAAAAAATATATTTTATTGATTTTATACAGAGAGGAAGGGAGAGAGATAGAGGGTTAGAAACATCGATGAGAGAGAGTCATCGATCAGCTGCCTCTTGCACACCCCCTACTGGGGATATGCCGGCAACCAAGGTACATGCACTTGACCGGAATCGAACCCAGGACCTTTTAGTCCCCAAGCCAACGCTCTATCCATTGAGCCAAACCAGTCTTGGTGCACATGAGTTGTTGAAGGCAGATATACTTGTCAACAAGAGCTGAAGGCAGGAGAGAAGACAAGAAAAACTAAAAAGCAGATATAAGAACTCAGAAAACACTAGTCTTGTTTAGGGCCAGCAGGGGCTACATTTTTCAATGAAAAAACAAACAACCCAAAACAATAAAACAGTGATCAAGCGCTCTCCATGTTGGTGACCCTGAGACATTAGAAAAGGTTCCATTATGCTCTACAATGTTACTTCAAGAGGCAGTGAGGCTGGAAGTTGATAACATACTAGTATTTTCATTAAACAGGAAAACAATAAAAATTAAAAGCCATTATCACTTTAACAAGGTAAATATCAATGAAGTTGTACATTCACAAATGGAAAATTGACCGATTTTGGAATGCCAATTTAAACAGACAGCTGTACAAAGAACCTTGCACAGTATCGGTCCAGGTTCATAGATACTTAACAAATGTCAGTTCCTTCCCTTCCTCTCGGGTCTTTGCTGTCTCATACCAAATGACATTCCAATCATCCAACTGTTGGTCCTTCTGTTGTATACCTTCTACATTTTTTTTAAAAAATACAAATCACCTTCTCTTGTTAGATTATAGTAGTCTTTGAACTGCTTCCTTGCCTCTAAATTTATCTCATATTTAATTCATTCTCTACCTACCCCCCACTCCCTACCGCCTTAATGTTTCTGAAGTGCACATCTGGTCCTGTTACCTTCCCAATAAACCTTTCCATGGCTCTCCATGACCCTCAGCCCCTAGACACCTCTCCATTCTCTCATATTCACTATACCTGTCTCACATCTTACTCTGGCTATGATGAACTTTGATAGAGTGCTCCAAAATAGATATGCTTTCTTCTTTTGTGGTTTTTGCACATGCTGTGCAGACTATCTGGTGTCCCATCCAACTACTCTTTGTCTAACTCTTATTTGCTCTTCATTCCTTGGCTTAAATATTAATTTATCTTGATGCTCTTCTGGCTTCCCGAGACTGGTTTAGGCATGACTCAGGTGCTCTACGGACTAAACACTCTGTTTCTTAAGGTTCTAAAGGTTCTAAACTATGTTTTGTTTTCTACTATTCCCAGTACCTTGCCCAGTGTCTGGCGCATAGTATGCCGTCAATAAATGCATTCTGAATGAATCTGTATTCTCTTCCCCACTGAACTAGGTATAAGAATCTACATTTACTAGAAAATCTGAACTAGCAGTGATAAATTGAGATTAAGCTCAAATGTTTAGCAAGATTTCTTTGTCTGCTGAGGTTCTTAAAGTCCATTAACTCTCAAGTTGTCATTTTCCAAGTAGTACGTTTAAGAATGGCAAAAAATTCTAGGAAACAGTACTTCCTTTGCAGATTATACTTGCTAATTGCAAATAATAAGGAAAACCAACAGTTGAGGCACCCAAATTCTGTACCACCTTAGAAGGAAGAAACACTTATCGAAATGACTATAACAAGAAGTGTTTGCTGTTGCTGATAATGCCAATATTAATAGTGTTTCTATGTGCTATGCATTATTATAATAATTGTATATAGTACACAAATTCATTTAATATTAAAAATAATCATGTGGTAGATACTATTTTATCCCCACTTTACCAACGAGGAAAGGAGCCATGCATGGAGAGGTAATTCCAAGGTACTTGGCTAATGGATGAGTGCTAGATGTGGCCTCGGGACCCAGGCAACCTAATTCTACAGTCTGTGCTCTGGACCATTATGCTAAATTGAACACATCAGTTTCTATACACAGAGGAGTCAACAAAATGACAGAAATGTGCTGTGAATTTCTTTTCCTACCCTCCCTGTGAACAAAACATGAAAAACCCAAACAGCTGTATTAAAGCAGTATTTCTTTCAGCATAGCTACCTGGCATAGATCAGTCACATTAAAAAAATATCTTCTGAATTAATCTGTTCAAGCAATGAAAGTTACTTTCTAAAAAAAAAATAAAATAAAAAAAATTTAGCCTCGCTCGCATGGCTTCAGTGGTTGAGTGTTAACCTATGAACGAGGAGGTCACAGTTCCATTCTTGGTCAGGGCACATGCTCAGGTTGTGGGCTCGATCCCCAGTGTAGGTGTGCAGGAGGCAGCTGATCAATGATTCTCTCTCATCATTGATGTCCCTATCTCTTCCTCCTTCTTTTTTTCTCTCTGAAATCAATTTAAAAAATTTAAACTTAAGACTTTTAAGGCTGCTAGAAATCCACGTTTAGAAAACTTAAAACTCAAATAAGGTACACTAAAGCACTAACAGTGTACTGAGAAACATGATCAGGTGAGCAAATTGCTTTTCTATTTTGTTTAGTTCAATAAAACTTATTATTGCAGGGGGAAATATATAAAAATAAGAAATATTTTTACATTTTTAAAATTTAAAAGTATAGGCTGTCCACTGAGACTATTTTATAGTTTAACTTGTATATCGCCAAAATAAAAAATCCAATGGTTGTGACCCTCTAATCCAATTAATCTTTTGCTCCAATCTCCACTGAAATAGAACCCTCCTTTCCATCAAATAGTGTTTTTTTTTGAAGCTACATTTGCTTAACTGTACATTTATTTTTATTCCTTCTCAAGGCTATTGCCATATGTGGGTCAAAAGGAAAACGAAAGTAATAAAAAGGAAACAAACAAGTCTACTAATAGCAATTTTCACGAATTATATGTTTATTTAAAAGTAAAAATCAAATGTTAACAAAAGAAACACAGAAACAATAACATTAAATGTACTTTTTTCAGATCTATTATGCAAATCAGTTTGAAATACTTCTTTTATGCTTTTTCAAATTAGTGTTTTATCCTTGAAAAACATGCCTAAACATCTTTTCCCAAAACATTTCTTTTTTTTCTTTCCCCTTTTGATCTAATAATGTCAACAGCCTAATATTTGATATTTTGGTTTCTGTTTGGACCCAGCAAAACTTCAGTGGAATCTGTGGCACAACATATTTAAAACATTTCAAGAATAATGTTATGTTTATTATTTGTGATAGTTAATATAAAGCATAAGAGTAATGTTAGGAAGCAGCTTTAATGGGGAAGAAATTGAAGTTAAACACTCAGTGTTCTAATTGACAGATACATACTAAATTTAGACCTGTGCAATTTAAAAATGGTCAAAATATTAAGCCATTGATAATGTGGTAAGGCCAATGAATATATCACCATTTCAATGTTTTGATAAGATGTTAATGTTCAAAAAAGCATGTTTATGAATTCCAGGTACTATTTCTCTGTAAAATATATTTTATATATTTTTTTACAATCAGAACGTCAAACCTCAGGGAAGGTAGGGTAAGGGGGAGAGACCAACCAAAGGACTTATATGCATGCATATAAGCCTAATCAATGGATACAGGCAACAAGGGGGTAGGGGCATGAATGGGAGGTGATGGGTAATGGGGGGAATAAGGATATATATATATATATATATATATATATATATATATATATATAATACATTAATCAATAAAATTAAAAAATAATATAAAATATTTTTATTGATTTTTTACAGAGATGAAGGGAGAGGGATATTGATGAGAGAGAAACATCGATCAGCTGCTTCCTGCACACCTCCTACTGGGGATGAGCCCACAACCAAGGTACAAGCCCTTAACCAGAATTGAACCTGGGATGACCCTTCAGTCTGCAGGCTGACGTTCTATCCACTGAACCAAATTGGTTAGGGCTATAGCTAGTATATTTTAAGTAAAAATAATCATTTCACTTCATAAGTAGTGTTTTTAGTTGGGACAGATTAATCAATCTCTAACAAACATGACAAAAATTAAGATGGAAAAATTACTTTGGAAGGTAAGAAAAAGGAGGAGAAGCAATACATTATGTCTATCTACAAAGACTGTTTTGTTTTTCCTACACAACATGGTGTCCTTTTTCTGAAAACAAAATGGCAGTAGTAAGCAAAAAGTGAATTTACACTACAGAATGACTTTTAAATAGCACAGATATAAGAGCTATAAGAAATGGAAAGTGATCTTTAATTAAAGGGGTATTAGCACTGCTGCAACATCTTTCAGAGTGAAAACTGTAAATCACATCTCTTGGGAATTGCATACAGAATGTCTCAAATCACAAGGGTAAAGAAGAATTTATCACAACTGATCAGTTTACCTTCTTTTTGTTTACATAAGTGCTTGGTAGCCAGGTTCAATCCCCAGAATTTTGCTATTCATACAAACTACTGATGCAAACACCAGGAAGCCAGTCTGAGGTTTTAGGAAAGGGTGGAGCTTAAAAAAACACACACTGCAACATGTGTAAAACAGATGTTCCTTTTAAATTATTTTTAATACTGTTTGTATTTTGTGCCTCCAACGGAACTGGCCTCATAAAATATGTAATGTTTACTTCTCAAACCAAATTACAAGCATCTATCTATAGTGTTCAATTAACTTTCAGACAGAAGTTAACAACGAAGCTGATGTTATAATGTAACTCAGCTCATATATGTTAGTGCAGTTATAAGATTGCTTACTAACATATAAATTAAAGTTTTATAAGACCCCAGAAAAGTAACTAAAAACTATGAGATATATACCCTACATTATTTTGTACTTTTTATTTATTTATATATTTATTTTGTACTTTTTCCAAGGTGAAACTTCTCATTAAGATGATTAGTAATTGTGTCATTCAATTTAATCTACTATATGTATCACACACAAAATAGAGGGAAAAAGTCAAGAAATTACATAAAATTATACATTATAAAACATAAAGAGCACTTAAAATATTTTCATAAAAAGAAATTTCAACCAATAAAATTAATATTATCAATAATATTAATATTATATTAAGTCAAACCTTACCAGCTGCAGTGGCTGGGACATTAAGTTTGCTTAAGTGGTCTTTTTGAGCTTTTGCTAGCATGCATATTCTATGAAATTCTTCTTTCAGATCCCAGAAAGTCTTCTCTATATAACTCCTAAAAATAAATCAATATTTAAAAATTTAAGGATATTTCTTCAAATATTCTTTAATCATAAAGTTATATAGCACATATTTATGTATCATAAAATAATTACTGAAAAGTTAAAGTTAAAAAAAATGTTTTCGATTCCTAGAAAATATCCCCGAAACAATTCTAATGTTTGGAGAGCCAAGCACAAAGTAAGTGAAAAATGACAAGTTCTAATACATAAAGGTAGGGCAGACTAACAAATGTACTTATTCATAAATCACACTTATGCTGGCTGTCTCATTCACACATTAGAAATATTAATGCATTGACTTTTGTTCTCTGTAAGCTTCTTAAGTAGAAGCAAATTAAATATTCCTTACTTTGATAAAGTTCACATTAAGAGCCATTGTATAAAACAATGTGGCCATAATAGTTGGTCTAGAAATTCTTAAAATAAAATATTGCTTTAGAAAATTCAAATTTAGATTCACCTCTGCTATAAATTATCTAACTTATTTAGGTTATTTTCACATTCAGGAGACCTAGATTAGTCTCTTATAGTTCTACTAAGAGACTGCTATTTTCTTACAACTGCTAATATTTACAAAATATGTAAGTAAAAATATATTTCAATATTTATAATTTTTAGAGTTGGCAAAAAAAAAAAAAGATATAGAACTACCTTTCATGGAATAAAGGAATGTCAAAACTCCTTGGTGAAGTTTCTTTTCTAGTAGAAGAAAGCTCTTGTCTTCTTTCCTTAGAGATACAAAATAATTAACACTTTAAATTGCTTCTAAACTCAAATGAGAATGGGTTAACAAAAAACACAATGAAAAATTTAAATTCCTCAATGAAAAGTAAGTTTAGGTAGCTTATAGATATATAATAGATTCCCCCCTTCCCCTTTAAATGAAAATAAGGGGAAAAAGAAAACAAAGGTAAAAAAAAAAATAGGATGAAGACGAAGTATTTCTTCTCAATTATTTCCAATACTGGTAATTCAAGAAATTTTCTCAGACTCAAATATTGATAAAAATTGCTACTCTGATCACTAGTAGCACCTGAAAGGACCTGAAAGTTTAGGCAGAAAAAATGTGTGTGTGTGTGTACACTTCTTTTCCACTTAAATCAATGTCTGTATTTATTATATATTCTTTGCTGGGGAATGCAGCTGTATTAGAGGAAGAAACAAAGCATCAGCTCCTTAGCATTTAACAAGCTTTTTAAAGATAGAGCAATTTTATGTATTTAAGTTTAACACAAGTTCTTGCCTTTCACTCCCACCCTGTGGTTTACACTGGTATTACATTTATTCTGACATTTAAAAGTCAACATTGAAAAATGTGATATAATCATGTATTGTATGGTTTAGATTTAAAAAATATTTGCACTTATACCTAAAAAACGTTGTGCCTTATAAAGCTATAAACTGACAAATTCCAAGATGTGAAGTACTAATATACAATCATAAATTATAATTCAGACAAAATGGTTAAGGACTTAAATTTAAGTTCAAACTAGTGGATATTTATTTTTAGTGACTTTCAAGATTTTATTCAGTTAAGGTCATCATAACTTTTATGTGATTTTACATCACTGTTTCTTATCATCTGAGTATATCTCCCTTTAATCCTGCTTTTCAAAAAGTTCTTTCAATTTCATAGGAGTCTCATTTGTTCTTTAAGACTTGATTCCTGTTTTTTCTTAAAATTAATATCTTCTCCAATTTATTTCAGTGTATTGCTCTACTTTTCCTGCTTTTTATAATACACTAGAGACCCAGTGCATGGGTTTGCGCCCTGATGGGGTCGTGGCCTGCAGGGATTGGCCAGCTGCAGGAGCGCTGCTCATCCCAGTCAGCTGAGTGGCTGTGGACCCACCCTCTGGATGGCTGCTGAATGAGGAAATTAGTCTCAGCTGATATTTAGGGGTAATGTCTTGGGTAAAAGTGTGTTCTGTGTCCTGGAGGAACCTGGCAGAGAGCTTTGCACCCCAAAGCCACTCTGTGATTGTCCTTGATGTGTGATGCCAGGTCAGTGATACATTAGGGGATGTTCAGAATAGCTGTGCTCCAGGATCCTCAGCCATCAGGACAGCCTCCCTGGGGGGTCCACAGTCATGTCCCCTCTTGCCATCTGCCTATGCTAGCTCCCCATACTCTTTTTAGAACACACCTTAGGGGGCCTGCATCAGCTGGTGGGGTCAGCCCAGAGTCTGGATTGTCTCAGGTGTTTGATAGGTGCAGAGTCTCGGCCTCACCCTGACTGAGCCTGCTAGTGGCTACTTTTGCTTCGTTTGTGATCTATTTCCTTGTCTTGGCATTTTCGCAGCTTCCCTGAGTTGGTAGCCTTAAAAGTCTCTGTGTTCAGCTTGGATGGGGCGGAGTTTCAGGGTGGAGCCTACAGCCTTGGCTTCCCGTCAGCCCAGCCCTATGAGGCTCCTGAGTCTCAGTGTTCCTCAGTGTCTTTGGTACTCGCTGCAAGCGCCTCTGATAGAAAGGTGCCCTCGAGTTTCGCCCGCTACCAAACAGGCTAGGCTCTCCCCCAATGAGCCCTGAACTGGGGTTCAGTGCAGTTGGAAGTGGGGTTCAGTGCAGTCTGGAGCTTTTGTCTCCTTCCTGCTAGGGCAATCCAGTGGCACAGTCAACAGTCCATCCTCTGCGCGCAATGTGCGCACCTCCGGGACTGCCTTTCGCCGCTCCCCTGAGTTTCCGCCTTACAGCCCAGATTCTCTCTGTATGAGCCTGGGTCCCCAGGGTCTGGCCTAGAACTTGGGTTCAGTGCAGTTGGAACTGGGGCTCAGCACAGTCTGGAGCTTTTGTCTCCTTCCTGCTAGGGCAATCCAGCAGCAGAGTCATCAGTCCATCTTCTGCGCACAATATGTGCGCCTCCGGGACTACCTTTTGCTGCTCTGCCTTACAGCCTAGATTCCCTCTGTATGAGCCTGGGTCCTCAGGGTCTCGCCCAGAACTGGGGTTCAGTGCTGTCGTAACTGGGGTTCAACAGTCCGGAGCTTTTATCTCCTTTCTGCTAGGGAACGCCAGCCAGGCACTCAGCCTCCCCTCCTCTCTGGCTCCGTCCTCTCTCCACTCGCATACCGTATCTCCGTTCCTTAGGCTTTTACAGCTCCTCTGATTTTCTTTCTGGTTTTCTCTTTCCTTCTAGTTGTAGAATTTCCAGTCAGTCAACTTTCCTGTAGTTTTGGATAATGTCCATTTTGTATTTTAGCTGTATTTTTTGAAATTGTTGTGTGAGGCTGCAGTTAGGTGTTTACTTATGCCTCCATCTTGGTTTCTCCCACTCTGAGGAATTTTTACTGTTCTTTGGGGTTAGAAATACAGCTCTGCTTACTATTATTTTGGACGAAAAGTATTACTGATTGTTCTAAACAATGTATTGCTCCTTTTATAATTAACACCAAATAAATCTGTTGATATATTTCAAGTAAAAATTTTAGGTCCCCAACACCCCAAGAAAAATATTTTTAAAAGGCACCTTTTGACATGTTAATTCCGAGAGAGAGAGAGAGAGAGAGAGAGAGAGAGAGAGAGAGAGAAAGAGAGAGAGAGAGAGAAAAGACAAGTAGGGTTAATCTAGAATGTAGTATTTTCCATTGACACAATTTTCTCTAAATGATCATTTTTTTAATGATGTATTTTTTAATGATGTATTTTTAAAGTATTTAGGATTAAAGTATTTAATCCTAAATACTTTAAAAAATACTTTTTAAAAATTATTTTTATTTTTATTTATTTTTTTTAAATCAATCTTTATTGTTCATATTATTACAAAGGTTCCTCATTTCTTCCCCCCTCCACCAGGTTCCCACCTCACCCTCCGCTCCCTCCCCATCCTCCATTGTCCTCATCCATAGGTGCAGTTTATGTTCAGTCTCTTCTTCCCTCCCTTTCCCCAATAGTAAATCCCTTTTCAGATAGTAAATCAGTTACTTAGCATTTTCTCATATCAATAATACCTCCACATGCCCAATGATACACTTCACACAAAAGACATTTCCCAATATGTCCACCAGCCTCATCCAGGCCCCACCCAAGGCACTCACAGATCAACACCCCAGCCCTAAACTAACTCAACACATCCAGATCTAAGCCTTCATCACTTGATTCAGCAGACCCTCAAGTTCCCACGAAAGTTTCCAGCCATGTCTGAGAAGCAGCCGTGGGGCAGGGGCAGGCAAGGAGCGAGCTGTTCCGGGCCTGGCTGCTCAGGGCCTGGCCTCTGTTGCTCTGGTTCATTCCACAACCAGCTGCTCCGGGTTTGGTCACTGCCGCTCCCGACCTAGTTGCTCTGGACTTGGCTGCTGCTCCCCCGGGCCTGGCCGCTCCCAGCCTGGCAGCCGCTGCTCCGGGCCTGGCCGCACCTGACCCGCCTGCTCCCCCGGGCCTGGCCGCTCCCAACCTGGCAGCCGCTGCTCCGGGCCTGGCCGCACCCGACCCGCCTGCTCCCCCAGGCCTGGCCGCTCCCAGCCTGGCAGCCGCTGCTCCGGGCCTGGCCGCACCCGACCCGCCTGCTCCCCCGGGCCTGGCCGCTCCCAGCCTGGCAGCCGCTGCTCCGGGCCTGGCCGCACCCAATACTTTTTTTTTTTTTTTTTTTTTTTTAAGTATTTAGGATTAGTATAGTAATGGCAACTCTAACACTTTTTCAGAAACTTAGAATTTCTTTTCAATGCAAATTATCTTAATGAAGATGTCACAGTTTGTTGAGCATCCTAGAGAAGAAGTACACATTAGAAGAGATAGTTTGTATTTTCCTTTCTACTTTCAATATTATATAAATGGATTCTGCATTGCAGGAAGTTGAAGTCATTACAACTTCAAATAAGAAAGCAAAGGAGAGCACTAACCGGTATGACTCAGTGGATAGAGCACTGGCCTTTGAACTGAAGGGTCCCAAGTTCGATTCCGATCAAGGGCATGTACCTTGGTTTCAGTCACATCCCCAGTGGGGGGGGGGGGGGTGAGCAGGAGGCAGTTCTCTCTCATTGATCTTTCTAACTATCCTTCTCCCTTCCTTTCTGGGGAAAAAAAAAAAAAAAAAAAAAAAAAATATATATATATATATATATATATATATATATATATATATATATATATATTAAAAAAAGAAAGAAAGAACGGGAGAGAACCAAGATGGCAGCATAGGTAAACACCTGTAGTTGCTGTGTCTTGCAACCACATCAAAATTACAACTAAAAGACAGAACAACTATCATCCAGAACCACAGGAAAGCTAGCTGAGTGGAAGTACTACAACCAGAGAGGTAAAGAAGAAAGCGCATTGAGTCTGATAAGAGGTGAGAGGTGTGGAACGGGCTGGTACTCAGGTGCACTGCTTTTTTAATCGGGAGAGAGAGACAAGCTCCTGCTTGCTCTGAACTCCAGTTCTGGGTGAGACTCTGGGTGACCCAGCCACATATGGGAGAAACTGGACTGTCTAGCATTGTGGCAGGGATGTGAGGGTCGCTTTCTTTCAGATGAAGGTGCTTGAAATGGTCAATGTTCCTGTGCTGGAACCTCCCGGTGCAGGGCTGACTGGCAGCCATTGCTGTTTGCTCCACCCTGAAGATTCCTGGACACCTCTCTCTACCCAATTTAAAACCCCACCCAAGCTGTGTACAGTAGCTTTTGCATATGAATGGCCTGTCTTTTCTGAACCTAAAACAGGCAGCAGCTGGATCAGGGAGCTCTAAAGATAGCAAAAGAAGGCCCAATGCTGAACCAGCACCAGCCTGCCTTGC